TTGAAAATGTGAAATCTGAACCTGTACATAAATATTGGCGCCAAAATAGTCGGTTTTGCGACAGAAACACGGCCCATTCCTGAAGTGGAAAACTAATTTGGGATTAGGAGCTTATCAGCTCAATATCTTATTATTTTCCACTAAGGTATGATCTCTTGGTTGCTTAATCAATTCATTCTTCCGACCATTTAAAAAATAGGGAGGAAATTGTTTTCTGTTGTTGTATTTTTTTTGTTTTTTTTTGTTTTCCACGCAAAATTGGGTACCTCAATTAATCAATAGAATAGGTGGAGTGATATATCAGAGTAAATCCTTTTCAGTCGGAATTCGAACGACATTAAAACTTTTTAAGAAACTTTTCTCGGTGCGGAAAAAAAAACAAATTGAAATTTTTGGTTTTTGGTCTTATTTGAGCGAATAAGGTGAGCGAGCAGCCTTTTTGTTTCTACAAAAAATGTTACCCCACATAATCATCAGAATAGTCGAAAGATATATAACATTCAAGCTTTTTCAATCCTTATTCGATTGATCTTGAAACATTTTGAAAATTGCACCAGTGTCGAAAAAAAGCGGTTTGAATTTTTTGAGTTTTAGTCTAATTTTCTTGCGGTTGAAGCATACGAGCAGGCCTAGTAGAGCAAAATAGGCAATGAAATTTTATTAAAATTGGTTTGGAAGATTTTAGCCCCATTTTTGGAATAAAAATCTCAAAACAAATTTGTGCAAATTAAAAAATTAAAAAACTTTTTTGGTTGTTGATTTGTTTTTTTTCAGCCATTTTTGACAAGAACCGTGTGCTCGATTTGCCTATTTTACAGTTACTGTCGAATATACCTTCAGGTTTTCCTGAGGCCGGTATGACATTGTCACATTTGATTCTCGAAGCCCGCGTTTTTTTGTTATTTATTAACCTCCCGCACTCAGGAAAAAGAGAAAATAATCGATTATATTACAATTGTAATTGTATTTTTATTAAAATTATAATTGATTATTAGCGCCAAATTTAGATGTTTAAACAACTTATAATCCTTTATAATGATAACATTTTTCGTGACATTATAATAAGTTATAATCAATTATAATTGATTAAAATTGTTCCAAAAATCTCTTATAATCTCTTATAATCTATTATAATCTATTATAATAGATTATAATAGTTTTTTTCTGTCAAAAATCTCTGAAAGTGAGATGTCTTGTCAGTTTTTGGTTGAACTGAACCCAAAGTCTTACCACGAAACAAACGCTTCATAGAGAACCCTTTATATTAGTTGAAAGAATCCCACGGTAGGTGAAATATAACTCTTCTATATAAATCCTAAAATTAAAGCAGTGTGCTGACATTTTGGTGGTCAAAAACTTAAAATGTGCATCATGAAATAACTATAATCAAGAAGAAATTTAAGAAAAAAACGTTATAAATTTGAATTGATTTGAAACTGTTATAACAGTTTTCCCATTTTTCACATGAAGCAATTCAGGTGGAAAGTTGAAAACAAAATGGGCAAACAAAGGGATTATAATCGATAAAATTGGATTTTTCTGCAAAACAAAAATAAATTAGAAATTTGTTTTTAAAAAATCAGTCGAGCTGCACCACAACAATTAAGCTTGTTTTTTGCATATATAACTAGTCAGCGTTAAATTGATTAATTATTCATAGAAACACCAGCAAAAACTCGATAATTGATCGATTGATTAATTGGCCCTGGTTAATGGCAATTAATTGTCGAACATCCCCTTAGGTGCCAGCATTCTCGCATGGTTTTGCATTTTTTCAAATATTGAAAGCTTGGGTCGTTCTAGTGAAATGGGCTGTGAGAGATTTCGTCCCATTACAGATCGCGACCCAATTTAACTTCAACATATTTCGTCCCATTTCGAAGCGTACACAGATTTCCTTCCACCAATTTGGATATGGGATAATAGGATATTGGATATGTGACGAAACCTGCATGGGACGAAACCTGCATGTGACAAAATTTGTTAATGAAATAAATAGGACGAAATTAGTAAAAGGACGAAGTCTGTGCCAATCTGTGGAATGATTCCAGAAGAGGAGGTGAGCTCGTTTCTAGCACAAAGTTTGCAAGGGGCAAGTTCGCAAGTTCACAAACCTAACCGATGAGTTAGTTCTTTACATGAGATCGTTCACTTGGTTAATTGAGGCTTCTGCGATTCGAAGGGGTTTTATGAAGATCATTAGCAAGAAACTCAAGCTCGTTTTTGTTATAATTCTATTCTTCTTCAGGGAGAAACCGCGAAGCAAAAGCTATCGACACCCACAGCTCCAGTTTTAGTTCTTGCTCTAGAGCCGCGAGTAGGCCGCTATGACATCGTCACATTTGATTATCGAAGCCCGCGGTTTTTTGTTATTTATTAACCTCCCGCACTCAGGAAAAAGAGAAAATAATCGATTATATTACAATTATAATTGTACTTTTTTAAATTTATAATTAATTATAAGCGCCAAATTTAGATGTTTAAACAACTTATAATCCATTATAATGATAACATTTTCGTGACATTAAAATAAGCTATAATCAATTATAATTGATTAAAATTGTTCCAAAAATCTCCTATAACCTCTTATAATCTATTATAATCTTTTATAATAGATTATAAAACGTTTTTTTCTGTCAAACATTTTTGAAAGTGAGATGTATTGTCAGTTTTTGGTTTAACTGAACCCAAAGTCTTACCACGAAACAAAAGCTTCATAGAGATCCCTTTATATTAGTTGAAAGAATCCCACGGTAGTTGAAATATAATTCTTCTATATAAATCATAAAAATAAAGCAGTGTGCTGACATTTTGGTGGTCAAAAAATTTAAAATGTGCATCATGAAATAACTATAATCAAGAAGAAATTTAAAAAAACGTTATAAATTTGAATTGATTTGAAACTGTTATAACAGTTTCCTTATTTTTCACATGAACCAACGTCTACAAAAAGCATAAAATATAAGCAATTTAAGTGGAAGCTTGAAAACAAAATGGGCAAACAAAGGGATTATAATCGATAAAATTGGATTTTTCTGCAAAACAAAAATAAATTAGAAATTTGTTTTTAAAAAATCAGTCGAGCTGCACCACAACAATTAAGCTTGTTTTTTGCATATATAACTAGTCAGCGTTAAATTGATTAATTATTCATAGAAACACCAGCAAAAACTCGATAATTGATCGATTGATTAATTGGCCCTGGTTAATGGCAATTAATTGTCGAACATCCCCTTAGGTGCCAGCATTCTCGCATGGTTTTGCATTTTTTCAAATATTGAAAGCTTGGGTCGTTCTAGTGAAATGGGCTGTGAGAGATTTCGTCCCATTACAGATCGCGACCCAATTTAACTTCAACATATTTCGTCCCATTTCGAAGCGTACACAGATTTCCTTCCACCAATTTGGATATGGGATAATAGGATGTTGGATATGTGACGAAACCTGCATGGTGGAACCTGATCTAAACTACATTTTATGATTGGATAAATTAGATATTTTACCAATGTAAAGTATTTAATATTAACCAATCATGATCCATCTGACTAACAATCCACTTATTTGTAAGTGCTGAAATTACTAGTAATTTCAGCACCAGAGAGATTTGAATTTAACTTAGAAATTAGTTGACTCTCCAAGAAGACTTCAGCAGCCGCAATAAACCAGTATACCCTAGATCTATTGAGCCTAGCAGAGACTAGTTAAACAACCTGAGACTAGATAGTATAAGAGTAAGATTAGGATTGGTATTAGACTAAGAAGTTGCACGAATCTATCCGGCCGAAAATAAGATAGCGTGACGAGCAGACGGTGTACCCTATCCGAAATTACTCTATGAGTTATACACTTCGGTCCTAACTCAATGGGACGAAACCTGCATGGGACAAAATTTGTTAATGAAATAAATAGGACGAAATTAGTAAAAGGACGAAGTCTGTGCCAATCAGTGAAATGACCCCAGAAGAGGAGGTGAGCTCGTTTCTAGTACAAAGTTTGCAAGGGGCAAGTTCGCAAGTTCACAAACCTAACCGATGAATTAGTTCTCTACATGAGATCGTTCACTTGGTTAATTGAGGCTTCTGCGATTCGAAGGGGTTTTATGAAGGCTATCAGGCCTGTCCAAGCAGAGACCGTTTCTGTTAACGGAAATCTTTAATTACTTCCCCCACTTTTGCAAAAGGGGGGGATCAGTTACTAGGTACAAAATTTACACATGATAAACTATTGATTTTTTCTTTATAGGGGTTGAAATTCGTTAGCAGGTAACCTAGGGGGGGGGGGCTTAGAGTTAAAGAGATCCGGTACCGTTCGAGAGGGGGGTTGATATTTTATCGAAAATTTTTAAGCCCCCCCCCGTCCCCAAAAAATTCGTGCGCATGCTTCTCAGTACGGGCACCCTATTTTGTTAACTATCCCCCCTATGGTACCTTGTAACGAATTTCCCCCCTATAAAGAAAGAATTGAACAGTTAAGCATATACGAATTTAGTACCTTGTTAATTATTAGTACATTAAATAGTTAACCAGATCTAAAACACTTTTTTGGACGTCAATTAGAAACAGAGAAGAAAAATTGGTTCAAGCAAAAAGAAACTTGCATATTTTATTTTACCTATGTATATATTCCAAATTTGAAAGTTGTGCAGTTGATAGTTTATACTTTTCTCATTTCAAATTTAAACTTTAAACTCAGTTTAAATCTTTCTGGGTCGATTTAAGAGAACAAAAACCAAAACATATCGCGATAGGAATGGTAATCTAAGGCTTATTTTTAAAACATTTGAATTTAGTTAAATATTAGCTTTTATAAATAATGCTGAATTTATTACGAAGTCGTATTTCGATTTTGGTTTCACTTATTTGCTTAAACAGAAAATAAAACGTTCACTTTTATATAAATACTAAATTAAAATATATATTTGTGAATTTGTGCCGTATTAATTTACTGCTTTTATCTACTTTTGCAGCTTTATATTTTACGCATTAAATATAAAAGAAAAAGAAAGCAAGACAAAATTTTCAATAATATTCGTATATGGATAGAATTATAGAATTATTTTAAGCATTTTTATTATTTTCTACGTTAATTTCAGAGCATACAAAAGCAGCAAAAAGAACAGCTAAAAAGACACGTAATTTGTTCAACTAAATTTATTCGCTTTTTTTCTCAAAAATTGACATTATTTTTGTGTAATTTCACTTTTGTTTTCCCGTTTCTTTCGTGCGTTGCCAACCTACAGAAAATTACTAGCTTGACTTATTTTTGTTTTTATTTCACATTTTACCATTATTTTATAGGTTATTTCAATCACTTCTGAGCAAATTTGTTACCATTTTATATACTTTGGATTTTCTTCTAATACACTGAATGTCCAAAATATAGTGTATAAAATACGCATTTAAAACGCGGACTATTCCTTTTGCGTTCATTTTGATATAGGAGCAAAATTCGCTGTATTCCGCTCTGAATTAAATTTAAAATTGTGATATTTTATTTTCTGTTCCCTGTTCTTTATTTTAGAAAATTTCCCATTTTATTTCTGCAGCTGCAACTAAACCAAATTATTCGTGCTCGAGTTCGCGAACAAGCAAAATAAAATCATTCCTTACGTTACAAAAAATTACAACCGGATTCCAGTTTTTAAAAATAATTATTCTTTAAAATCACATCCAAAAACTTAGTTTTTAGAAAAGGGTCCCTTTTTTTCAATTCGGTTAGTGTTTAGACAAAAAGTCATGGCGGATCTTCTTAACAATTCCCCCCCCCCCCTTCATGAAAAGGGGGGATTCTTAAGTAGATCAAAATGGCCGATTTTTCGACCAATCAGAATGCAGCAAAGTTAGAATTAGCAGGGGGGTGGGGGGTTCGAGATTAATAAGTAGATCCATCATGGCTGACCCCACGTCAGTTCTGGTGTCATGTCGCCAAATTTTTCCAAATGGCTCCCAGTGAGTTCAGGCGCGGATCTAGGAATTTCTCGGGGGCGGGGGGGGCGGATTTTCAAAAAAAAATGTTGAAAATTGTGTCGACCTTTTTTTTAGTGTCGACCAATAAATTGTGTCGACCAATAATTTGATTTTTTTTCAAAATCCGCCCCCACCCCTCAAAATTAGTATAGATTCGCGTTTTTTCGGCGCGCGCTCTCTCTGAAAGTTAGTATGTATTGGCGCCGAAGGCGCCGTTAGAAAAATTTTAAGGTCAGTCAGCCAAAAATGGATATCTCAAAATAGTACAAAGGGGGACCCTATGGGTCGGCAGGGGGTCGAATTCCTGAGGGAAATGCGGGCTTCCGCCTATCTTAAATCCGCTACTGACTGGGTTGTTTCTCTTTATCAATATCTGGACTGTGAAAAATTACAGTCCCCTTTTTTCTGAAGGCGCCAATATACATTTTGAGAGAGGGGGAGGGGCGCCAACAACATTTTTTGATCAAAACGGTCTTTTTTTTTTAATAAAAACGTCGTTTTTGCGGCGCAAAACTTGATTAAATAAGGCCATGTAGGATTGGGTTGTTGTGGTTTTAGCTTAAAACATCAGCTTAGTCAAGAAGTTTTGTTTGAAAAACCGCTCAAAAAATTCCTGCGCAAGTCAGATGAGAACAAAAATTGCCTGCTTAGGTTAATTTGGGTTTCTGTGGTATTTCAGAAACTATATTTCGTTGGCCTAAAAAAGTACACAATGCTTTTTTAAAAACAGAAGCACTCTCGTAAAAATCCTAGATCCGACTCTGAGTCAACTCCAGTCGAAAAAAAAACTAGTTCATTTTAGGTTCCATCCGGATAATTGTTCCGACTAATGAAAATGGGGAGAACTTTGTCTTTGTGTTTTAGTTTCTTCTTCTATTTTTTGTTTTCCTTAAAAGCAGGTACTACAATCAATTATCGGAATGGGTCCAATCTTACATCATGTTAAAGTCACTTCAGTCGTGATTCGAACGACATTAAAACCTTTTAAGAAACTTTTCTCGGTGCGGAAAAAAACCAGTTTGGAATTTTTGATTTTTGGTCTTAATTTGAGCGAATAAGGTGAGCGAGCAGCCTTTTTGTTTTTAACGAGAAAATTTTCCCCACATAATCATCAAAATAGTCGAAAGATTTATAACATTCAAGCCCTTTCAATCCTTATTCGATTGATCTTGAAACATTTTGAAAAGTTGCACCAGTGTCGAAAAAAAGTGGTTTGAATTTTTTGAGTTTTAGTCTAATTTTGAGTGGTTGAAGCATACGAGCAGGCCTAGTAGAGATCGTTAGGCCATAAAGATTTAGTAAAATTGGTTTTTGAAGTTTTTCGACCCATTTTTGGAATAAAAATCTCAAAAAAAAACTTTGTGCAAATTAAAAAATTAAAATTTTTTTGGTTGTTGATCTGTTTTTTTTTCAAGCCATTTTCGGCAAAAACCGTGTGCTCGATTTGCCTATTTTACAGTGACTGTCGAATATACTTTTAGGTTTTTCTGAGATCCTTCATCATACCACGCGCAAAAAAAACACGGTTAAACCCATTTTTTAGTTTTGAATAAAATTGTTCCGCGCCGCGTGTAAAGTTCAGGGTTGAAAATGTGAAATCTGAAGCTGTACATAAATATTGGCGCCCAAATAGTCGGTTTTGCGACAGAAACACGGCCCATTCCTCAGCTGGAAAACTAAATTTGGATTAAGAGCTTATCAGCTCAATAACGTTTTATTTTCCACTAAGGTATGATCTCTTGGTTGCTTAATCAATTCATTCTTCCCACCATTTGAAAAATAGGGAGGAAATCGTTTTCTGTTGTTGTATTTTTTCTTTTTTTTTTGTTCTGCGCGCAAAATTGGGTACCTCAAATAATCATTGGATTGCGTGGATTGATATATCAGAGTAAATCCTTTTCAGTCGTAATTCGAACGACATTAAAACCTTTTAAGAAACTTTTCTCGGTGCGGAAAAAAACCAGTTTGAAATTTTTGATTTTTGGTCTTAATTTGAGCAAATAACGTGAGCGAGCAGCCTTTTTGTTTCTAACGAAAAAATTTTCCCCACATAATCATCAAAATAGTCGAAAGATATATAACATTCAAGCCCTTTCAATCCTTATTCGATTGATCTTGAAACATTTTGAAAAGTTGCACCAGTGTCGAAAAAAAGCGGTTTGATTTTTTTGAGTTTTAGTCTACTTTTGAGTGGTTGAAGCATACGAGCAGGCCTAGTAGAGATCGATAGGCCATAAAATTTTAGTAAAATTGGTTTTTGAAGTTTTTAGCCCCATTTTTGGAACAAAAATCTCAAAAAAAAACTTTGTGCAAATTAAAAAATTAAAAATTTTTTGGTTGTTGATTTGTTTTTTTTTCAAGCCATTTTCGACAAAAACCGTGTGCTCGATTTGCCTATTTTACAGTGACTGTCGAATATACTTTTAGGTTTTTCTGAGATCCTTCATCATACCACGCGCAAAAAAAATCACGGTTAAGCCCATTTTATAGTTGTGAATAAAATCGTTCCGCGCTGCGTGTTAAATTTAAAGGTTGAAAATGTGAAATCTGAACCTGTACATAAATATTGGCGCACAAATAGTCGATTTTGCGACAGAAACACGGCCCATTCACGAGCTGGAAAATTAAATTGGGATTAAGAGTTTATCAGCTCAATATCGTTTTATTTTCCACTAAGGTATGATCACTTGGTTGCTTAATCAATTCATCCTTCCGACCATTTCAAAAATAGGGAGGAAATTATTTTCTGTTGTTGTATTTTTTCTTTTTTTTTGTTTTGCACACAAAATTGGGTACCTCAAATAATCATTGGATTGCGTGGATTGATATATCAGAGTAAATCCTTTTCAGTCGTAATTCGAACGACATTAGAACCTTTTAAGAAATTTTTCTCGGTGCAGAAAAAAACCAGTTTGAAATTTTTGATTTTTGGTCTTAATTTGAGTGAATAAGGTGAGCGAGCAGCCTTTTTGTTTCTAACGAAAAATTGTTCCCCACATATTCATCAAAATAGTCGAAAGATATATAACATTCAAGCCCTTTCAATCCTTATTCGATTGATCTTGAAACATTTTGAAAAGTTGCACCAGTGTCGAAAAAAAGCGGTTCGAATTTTTTGAGTTCTAGTCTAATTTTGAGTGGTTGAAGTATACGAGCAGGCCTAGTAGAGATCGATAGGCCATAAAATTTTGGTAAAATATGTTTTTGAAGTTTTTAGCCCCATTTTTGGAATAAAAATCTCAAAAAAACTTTGTGCAAATTAAAAAATTAAAATTTTTTTTTTGGTTGTTGATCTGTTTTTTTTTAAGTCATTTTCGGCAAAAACCGTGTGCTCGATTTGCCTATTTTACAGTGACTGTCGAATATACTTTTAGGTTTAGGTTTTTCTGAGATCCTTCATCATACCACGCGCAAAAAAAACACGGTTAAACCCATTTTTTAGTTTTGAATAAAATTGTTCCGCGCCGCGTGTAAAGTTTAGGGTTGAAAATGTGAAATCTGAAGCTGTAAATAAAAATTGGCGCCCAAATAGTCGGTTTTGCGACAGAAACACGGCCCATTCCTGAGCTGGAAAACTAAATTTGGATTAAGAGTTTGTCAGCTCAATAACGTTTTATTTTCCACTAAGGTATGATCTCTTGGTTGCTTAATCAATTCATTCTTCCCACCATTTGAAAAACAGGGAGGAAATCGTTTTCTGTTGTTGTATTTTTTCTTTTTTTTTTGTTTTGCGCGCAAAATTGGGTACCTCAAATAATCATTGGATTGCGTGGATTGATATATCAGAGTAAATCCTTTTCAGTCGTAATTCGAACGACATTAAAACCTTTTAAGAAACTTTTCTCGGTGCGGAAAAAAACCAGTTTGAAATTTTTGATTTTTGGTCTTAATTTGAGCAAATAACGTGAGCGAGCAGCCTTTTTGTTTCTAACGAAAAAATTTTTCCCACATAATCATCAAAATAGTCGAAAGATATATAACATTCAAGCCCTTTCAATCCTTATTCGATTGATCTTGAAACATTTTGAAAAGTTGCACCAGTGTCGAAAAAAAGCGGTTTGATTTTTTGAGTTTTAGTCTACTTTTAAGTGGTTGAAGCATACGAGCAGGCCTAGTAGAGATCGATAGGCCATAAAATTTTAGTAAAATTGGTTTTTGAAGTTTTTAGCCCCATTTTTGGAACAAAAATCTCAAAAAAAAACTTTGTGCAAATTAAAAAATTAAAAATTTTTTGGTTGTTGATTTGTTTTTTTTTCAAGCCATTTTCGACAAAAACCGTGTGCTCGATTTGCCTATTTTACAGTGACTGTCGAATATACTTTTAGGTTTTTCTGAGATCCTTCATCATATCACGCGCAAAAAAAATCACGGTTAAACCCATTTTAGGGTTGTGAATAAAAACCGTTCCGCGCTGCGTGTTAAATTTAAAGGTTGAAAATGTGAAATCTGAACCTGTACATAAATATTGGCGCACAAATAGTCGATTTTGCGACAGAAACACGGCCCATTCACGAGCTGGAAAATTAAATTGGGATTAAGAGTTTATCAGCTCAATATGGTTTTATTTTCCACTAAGGTATGATCACTTGGTTGCTTAATCAATTCATTCTTCCGACCATTTCAAAAATAGGGAGGAAATTGTTTTCTGTTGTTGTTTTTTTTCTTTTTTGTTTTGTTCACAAAATTGGGTACCTCAAATAATCATTGGATTGCGTGGATTGATATATCAGAGTAAATCCTTTTCAGTCGTAATTCGAACGACATTACAACCTTTTAAGAAACTTTTCTCGGTGCAAAAAAAACCAGTTTGAATTTTTTGATTTTTGGTCTTAATTTGAGTGAATAAGGTGAGCAAGCAGCCTTTTTGTTTCTAACGAAAAATTGTTCCCCACATAATCATCAAAATAGTCGAAAGATATATAACATTCAAGCCCTTTCATTCCTTATTCGATTGATCTTGAAACATTTTGAAAAGTTGCACCAGTTTCGAAAAAAAAGCGGTTCGAATTTTTTGAGTTTTAGTCTAGTTTTGAGTGGTTGAAGTATACGAGCAGGCCTAGTAGAGATTGACAGGCCATAAAAATTTGGTAAAATATGTTTTTGAAGTTTTTAGCCCCATTTTTGGAATAAAAATCACAAAAAAACTTTGTGCAAATTAAAAAATTAAAAATTTTTTTGGTTGTTGATTTGTTGTTTTTTCAAGCCATTTTCGACAAAAACCATGTGCTCGATTTGCCTATTTTACAGTGACTGTCGAATATATATTTAGGTTTTCTGAGATCCTTCATCATACCACGCGCAAAAAAAGCACGGTTAAACTCATTTTTTAGTTGTGAATAAAATTTTTCCGCGCCGCGTGTAAAGTTTAGGGTTGAAAATGTGAAATATGAATCTGTACATAAATAGTGGCGCCCAAATAGTCGGTTTTGCGACAGAAACACGGCCCATTCCTGAGCTGGAAAATTAATTTGGATTAAGAGCTTATCAGCTCAATATCGTTTTATTTTCCACTAAGGTATGATCTCTTGGTTGCGTAATCAATTCATTCTTCCCACCATTTGAAAAATAGGGAGGAAATTGTTTTCTGTAGTTGTATTTTTTCTTTTTTTTGTTTTGCACGCAAAATTGGGTACCTCAAGTAATCATTGGACTAGGTGGAGTGGTATATCAGAGTAAATCCTTTTCAGTCGTAATTCGAACGACATTAAATTCTTTTAAGAAACTTTTCTCGGTGCTGAAAAAAACCAGTTTGAAATTTTTGATGTTTGATCTTAATTTGAGCGATCAAGGTGAGCGAGCAGCCTTTTTAGTTCTAACGAAAAGTTTTTCCCCACATAATCATCAGAATAGTCGAAAGGTATATAATATTAAAGCCCTTTCAATCCTTATTCGATTGATCTTGAAACATTTTGAAAAGATGCACCAGCGTCGAAAAAAAGCGGTTTGAAATTTTTTAGTTCACTCCATTTTTGAGCGGTTAAAGCATACGAGCAGGCCTATTATAGAAGGTTAAGCCATGAAAGTTTATTAAAATTTTTGTCAAAGATTTTAGCCCCATTTTTGGAATAAAAATCTTTTAAAAAAATGTGCAAAATTTAAAAAATTAGAAAGTTTTTTTGAATGTCGATTTTTTTCAAGCCATTTTTCGACAAAATCTGTATGCTCAATTTGCGTTTTTTAAAGAGACTGTCGAAGATACCTTCAGAATTTCCTTAGATCCTTCAAACCACGAGCAAAAAAAATCACGAGAAAATTTTTTAGGTTTTTTTACGAGTATGGTCGGAACATTCTGTGCTCTTTACCCAGCGGCCGGCTATCCTTGTTTCCCTTCCAAATATTTTGCTAATTTTAAAGTTTTTCATCGAAATATTACTTTTCATCAGTTGTTTGATTTGACGCTATCACGATTGTAGGGATCAAGTTATTATCCACGCCCCCAAATAGACCTTGTTAAGATCCTCCACCTCAGCGCTTCATTTAGATTAAATTTGCTTAGCACTTTATCTAAAATGCTCGATTCTGATTGGCTGAAAAATCCTAAATTAGAACCGAGTTAACATCCTCCCCTCAAACGGCTTTGGGGGGAGGATGTTATTTGGTCCCGTTTGTAGTGCGTTGCTTGTTATGTCGACTGAAAATTACACTACCATCAGTCACTGTTACAAAACTCTGCACCGAACATGTAGTAGCAATTCTACGCTTATAGCAAATTTTTAACTGAACTTGTAACAAAAAAGTAGAGTTTGTTTGGTCATATTACTAGCAGGAGCTAAATTTTAGTTCGTAACAAATCAAAAATCTAGTTTTATGTCTTCAAAATGCTATTCTATCTTATTATTTGTTTTTAATTTATAGTTTCAATAACTGTTGGAAAATAGTTTCCTTAAAATTTTATTGAGATACTAACTAGTTTAATTCTATAGGTGGGAGAATATTTTCCTTATAACTTTCATAACTTTATTAAAGATATGAAGCGTATAAGGCAAGGCTTAGAAGAAAAGTTGCGTTATTCGTTTATTGCGCTATCGAAAAAATTAATCTTGTCCAGTACTTAATAATGATGGATAATATATTTAAAAAAAAAAAATTTGAATTTTTTCCGTTTTTTTTTCAAAATCGTTATTGCTTAATCAAAATTTCATTTAATAGTTTTTTCAAGTTTTTTGTAGTTTTCTTATTATAGTTTCATTATTATTTTTTGATTTTCAATTTTCGTTCAAAGATAACTCAAAAATCATAAAAGTTCAGAAACAATCCTGTTTCATGCTTCAAAAAGCGCGGAGAAATTTGAAAACTTCAACTCAACTGTTGAATTTTTTGCCTTGAAACTAACTGCTTGAACTTTTTTTCATCAAATTGAATTTTAGGAACCAAATGACCGTGAAGAGTTCTTTCGGATCTTTCGCGGATGCAATATTAGCTCAATGTTTGGTTTGGTCACCCATAGACGAATGAGCAAAAAATAACCAGATTCACCGTATCTATTTTTTTCTGTTAAAAACATGATTTGTAGGCATGTTTTTAATATTGTTGATTTTTGAGCAAATTTTTTGGTCATTAATTCATTTAACAGATTTTGCTGATTTAATTTTTGTAGAAGTTTGGATCTTTGCTATCCGCCCGAACAAAGATTTGATCAAGCTATAATGTAATTGTTAAAAAAAAGCTACTTTTTGCTATAAATACACGTCTTGTTAAATCCATTTTATTTTCCATAAAAGAAAGGGTTTGTTTAACTTTTAATCACATTAAAAATCAGGCTGAAAAAATTGGGTGCTTTCCCACTTTTCTTAAAATGTAAACCTTAATATTCTTAAATTTCGTTCAATATTTTTCACTGCATGGGCTTTAAAAACGCCAAGATTTAAATGGAACTAAGAATGGAATTACAGAATGGAAAGCGGCACAATTGTGTGCAATATTGCATTTTCCTTTATTTTAGAAAAAAAATTAAATGTGGTCGATTTGTTTTTTTAAATTATTTTTGTCAAAATGCGGAACAGTTAAATCTTAGCTCGTAGCTGCATTATCAAAATTGTAACATATTTTGCATATATAGTTATTTTGAGCCGTAATGCCTGAATTTTATTGCTTTTTTCATTCGCGTCGTTTTTATAACTAAAAAGAACACCAATTTTAACCTTACCGACAAATATATATTGTTCAGAGGGATATATATTTTATCAATTGAATTCGTTTTTTTTATATTTTGCTATTTTCTTTTTTGGTTCGTTTCCTTGCGCCTTTCCGGCTCTACACGCTAAATACACCCAAATTTTTGATTCTACTGATCTATTTTATTTTACCTTCTTTTTTCAATTTTTCCTTGGTGATTATAATCATAGCGCAATAAGCAAAAATTTCCTAAATTCAATTCACGTTCCGCTCTTCTAATCCACGCGTTCAGTTTTTATCCGGAGTTTGCCTGCCGCAAAACATTTCACTAAAATTCCCTTTAAATTCTTTTTTTCCTTTTTCATTTCGCATCTGCACTGGAATAAAAGCATTTTTAACTCTTTTACGCCACAAATTTTATTCAAGAAAGACTTCACTTTTTTTATTTCTATCTTATTTTATTTTGCTTGTCTAGAGCTGCTTTAATATACAGTTTTTTCATTCCATATTTTGAATAAATTTACTTATTTTTTCACGTTGCTTACCTAAAATCTGCGTTATAAAATTACAAAAAAAGCGCACACTTACACCGCGCCGTGAAATCTTATTTGGTCATCAATGGGTCTGAAAAAATGCAGAAACTGCAACTTGATGCACCCGAGCGCGAAGCGAACTTGTAGTTGTGGATACCAATTCGAAATAAAATCGAAAAAAGTATACGGGGCCCCCTCTACGAATTACAATGAACTGATTATGCAACAACAGCATGTTTTGAAACAGTTAACAGCGCAGCGCCCTCTATCGGCCAGTGCGTGTGCTGCAGTTGCCAATTTGATACAAGTGACGTCAGCGGCGATTTCAGCCAATGAGAATCAAGCTGGTTTGATGATGGATGAAGGCGGGAACCAATTAGAGGGAACTGACATGTCAATGAATGGGTCTTCGGGGTCCATGCTTGCTGACGATGACGACGTCGAAGATGATGACAACAATACCATGATGATCAAACCAGAGTTCGCTAACTTCGGAAAGGTTAGATAAGTATACTACTAATCCTTGATCAGTTTTCTGCAACTGAAAATTGATCAAGGATTTGTGGCATTTTCGGGTGCAAACTTGATTTTACGTGTACTCAAATCATTTGAAAAGATCCGAGAGCTTGACAATCCTTAAAAAGATTATATTTATATCTATATTAGCTTCGTTTTTTTTTGTTATACGGCCCAAAAACTGGTCTTTTTGCTATTTCAATTTTTGATCATAATGCTCGAATGTGATCGGTTGAAATAAATGCCATTGAAAAAAATCTGTTTTCCCCCATAACATAGCAGAAGCTCAATTAATAGTACAATAATTTTGGACCGTATAAACTAAAAGTTTCTAGGCTTTATCTGATTCTGATTGGCGATAGGATAAAGCCCAAAAATTAAAAAAAATTCAAACAGTTTTTGCGGAAATTTTTTTTCTGAAAAACAGAAAATTGCGAATATTAATATTTTCTCCCAAAAAAGCAGGTCAAATCATTAATGAAGGGGCTTCCTATTGAGTTTGGCCTCACTGAAGTTTTCGTGGGGTACCAGATGTTACAAGGGTAGATAATACAGCACTCAGACATACTTCCTAATTTGTGATAATTTAGGGGTCCTTTTATGACTAGGAAACAAATATGTCATTAGACTGGATTTGTCTCCCCATTTTGAAAAGCCCAAAAAAACTAGCAGGAATTGTATTTGGCGACTACCTACTCCGTATTTTACTCATTTGCATTCTGAAAAAAATCAAAAGGAATTGATACGAATAGATTAATTCGCGCTAGGGGCAAGGGGGCAGACGCCCTCTTTCAGGGGTTCGACCCCCTCGCCAACCAAAGGGTTCCCGGGTTGAAGTCCCACCGTAAATTAGCGCTTTTTCTGTAGTATCCCAGTGATCACTATTTTCAAGCGCTGATTCATGTATAAACCAGAATTTTTTGCATAGCTAAACCTACGATATTTAAGAGCTATTTCAGTAATAATTCCGTAGAAAATCAGCGCTAAAACTTAAGAAATTTTACCTCATTCTAGTAGCTTTCAAATGAGACTGTGAGTTTATAATGCCTGTAATTTCAGGAGATCTGAGGATTTGTGGCGCTAAGGTAGCATACACGTCTACTATGCTGATGGTTTTCATATAAAATTGCTCTCACATTCAATTTCCCCTAAACTTTTTAGAATTGTAATATCTCACAAATTGTAGTATTCAACAGAAAACTGCAAATAGTTAACTTCAATTGTAAGTAGCTTGCAAAATTGTGACTATGGTAGTGTCTGCAAAAATTTCAAAAAAAAAATTGACTTTTACTTGAATTTTTCTTTCAATTTTTTGATAAGCTTCAATAGTGACTGTTCATTTCTTGCTCTAAATTTGTTTAAAGGCCAAACTTGAAAAAATTGGAAATATCTGTTGGCAAAATTGTTTCATTGAATTAATATTATAAATCGAAGGTTTAAATTTTGACTGATATTTTTTTAAGACGTCATTTAATAAAACATACTGTTTACTGGTGGCTAGCTGTATAATAAACCTCATTTACTTTTTTAAAAATGTTATTTAACTTCATTAGTAAACTTTCGAGATTTCAGTCAATCGGCTGTTTTTGCTGAATATCTTAAACTGAAGTCTCGAAATTTTATTAATAAAGCAAAAACAGCCGATTGCTGCGCAAGTAGCACAGCGAAATCGAACCAAAATTATGTCAGCAAAATTTGAATAAAAGTGAAAGAAATCCAAGTTAGAATCAAAAGAAAAAGTGATTTTTCACTCCCCACTTTATATTCAGATCAAAAGCAAAAAATTCAAACCTGTTTTTTTAGGACTAATTTTGAAATTTTTTGAATACCGATCGAAGCATTACCTCAGCGCCATATAACCTTTCTTAATGGTACCTGAGTCTAGGTCATACCAAAAAAATGAAAAGTTGTAAGAAATTTTTTTCAGGATAACTAACTTGCACTTTATCTGTCATACTGTTTTTCGAAGTGATAGTTTTTGGAATTTAGTTTTGCGAACCGTTTCATTTTGTTTTCAAATTGTATCGTTTTTTTTCCGACGTTTGATGAGAGGATCTGAACGAAAGCCAAGAGACTTTAAGCTTACTCGATATTCGTATTATGTTAGGCAGATTGGATAGGAGTTTTCTTTGAAATATGACTAAAAAAAGAAGGCGCAAAAAATTTCGAAAACACATCTCACTTAAACTACGTTATAATAAGCCAGCTCGCTAGTTTTTTGTTCGAATTAGGACTGAAAGGCTTTTTTATGATATGAGATGAATGAATATTTGCGGTATCTGATTTTGCGTGGAAAACAAAAGAAAAAGAAACAACAAAAACACACCCGAAGATAAAGTTCTTCCTCGTTTTCAATGCTTGGAACAGTTATCCGGAACACTGAAACATGAACTATTTTTTCTCAAAGGGAGCTGGCTGTAGACCGGGAACTGCGTCAGAATAGAGGCAGAACTAAAACTTTCTGGAAAGCGCTTTTCAAAAAAAAAGGTTATCGACCTTTTTTAATGTCGACGAAATATACTTTCGAAATGCCACAAATACTCAAATTTATCTTAAGGCAAAAATTGCAACGATCAGCCAACCGATTTTCCAACCCAAATTTGATTCAGCATTACAAAGAATGGGCTCCTCAGTGTTTAATGGAATTTACCAAAACGTTGAAATGTCTGAAAACCCGCGATAGCCATGTTAAATTGCTTCAAGTTTCAAAATTGTTCATTTTTTATAGTGCACCCGACTTTTTTTGGCTATCAGTCTCTGAAAGATTGAAATTTAGCTTTATACAAATTTGCATATGATGACTTTTTTACCTTGTTAGGCTAGGCGTATATTACAGCCTAACAATGTAAAAAAGTAAATTATATGCAAATTTGTATAGAGGTAAATTTCATTCTTTCAGAGACTGATAGCCAAAAAACAAACCAAAGATATAATTAATTAAAAAACTGTCGCGGCGGTTTTTTTTCTATTTCTAACCAAAAAAATCGAACAAAAAAGACTTAAGTTCGTGGATTCAACTTTTAGTGGATCCAAATTCCTCTAAAAAGCACTATGCTAATTTCAGCGCAATTGTAAGCAAGCTATTTTTGTTCTCATCTATTGACGAGTACAGAAATTTATTGATATGCGCAAGATTATTTTGAAGTAATTCTTGTTAGCAATGATATATTCCAGCAACCCTTTTCAACGTGATTGCAAGATTGATTAATGCAAATTCATTTAAATAACCACCAATTTTGATTTTTCTTCAGCATTTCTCTCTTAAGTTGGCTAGCTATTAAAAGGTTCCGCGACAACTCGCAACAAAAGACAACTGGTAACCATAGACAAGCCTCTAAAGAAATTTAAGAAGAGCGGCATCTCGCAAAATTTGAAAGTTCTTTTTAAAACTTAAAAGTTTGGATCTAAGGTCGCTGGTGAGCGAGCTACACGCGCGACTCGCCGCTTAGTATAAAGTCCAAACTTCTGTTGGCAAGCTCACAACACGATGGCGCGCTTGCGGCGTTTATTATATGGCGAGTTGTCTTTTTACGCGTGATGCCGTATTACCCTTTTTAAGGGGCAAAATAGTTCGTATTTGCAAGAGTTTCCTAAAACTACTGATCACTTTTCATCCAAATTTTATTATTGGTTTTTCAGCGAATCGGATGGCAAATAGTGATGATTATTGATGAAATAGTGATGAAATAACGAGGATAACCGGTTGCTGTGCAAGTAGCACAGAATGTTCCGACCATACTCTTAAAAAACTCATAAAAAAGCTTTTCCATGTTTTTTTCAATTTTTTCTCAAAAGTTTTTTTTTGTGAGTGGTGTGGAAAAGGATAAGACGAAACCTAGAATTTAGGCATATTCGACAGTCACAGTAAAATAGGCGACTCGCGCAATGGTTCTAGTCGAAAAACGACAAAACATTTTGAAAAAGATTCGAAAATATTATTTTTTCAGTTTTTTTTGCAGCCTTTTTTTTGGAAGGTTGAACATTTTCCTTGCAAAATTGGTATTAAAATTTTCGAATATTTTTTGCTGGAGCAAAACTAAAGTTTTATGGCCTATCCTGCTAAAATAAGCCTCATCGCTTGATTTTTTTTGCTCGAGTCTAACTCGCGCAAAAAAGGCAAGCGAGCTTGCTTTATTTAGACTAACTCCGGTTTCAAGCCGGTTTTACTCGACACAGGGTTAATTGTTGAAAATTTTGTAAGGTCGCTCGAATTAGGGCTGAAAGGGCTTTAATATGATTTATCATTTTACCGATTACGTTGATTTTTTATGGTAAAGGTTTTTGGTTGAAAAACAAAATAAGCCTGCTGGCTCGCTTTACTCGCTCGAAAATGGATGAAAGATCAAAAATTTCAAACCGGTTATTCTCGACACTGGGAAATTTTTAAAGAAATTTAAAATTTTTGCTCGAATTACGATTGGAAGGACTTTATTATGATATATAACTCAACCCAGTCCAATTATTATTTGCGGTACCTGATTGTGTAAGGAAAAAACTAAAACACACCCGAATACAAAGTTCCTCCCCATTTTCAATGATCGAAACAATAATGAATATAGAAAAACCCGTTATAAGTATACTGGAGAAAGTTGATAAAAGGTAGCCTTATATTTAAAAGGTTAAAATAAAATATAATTTTTTCAAAAGAACGTCAAAAAAGTTGTTTTTCTGATGTATTTTTTTTTGAGGTACGAAATCAATTTAGGAATTTTGCCACCTCCAAGTCTTAGGCAAAGTTAAATGCAGCTCCTCAGATAATAAAAGCGTGCTTTAAAACGTGTTTGGGCTATTTAATGCCAGCGTGCACTTTTGAACACAGAGGCAATAATTTAGAAAAGGCACTTCTACAAAATTTTCATAAACTTGTCTCAAATGATCTTCATTATGAGAAAAACGAGTCAAAAACAACATCAGCGCCGTTAGATAAGCATTCGAAATTATTTACGGAGCGGCAAGTGAGCAGATATTACTATGGCAGACGCCAGTTGAGCCAAAAACAAAAAGCTGTCCCAGAAAGTTTAAAACTTTGAAGTTTCAGATTCGATCAAAGTATTTACCTTTTATTCCTTCTGAAACATAAACAAGCATAATCGTCTCTTTTTGAATTTTAAAAGAAGCAAAATGCGATAACCAACTCAATATAGTATTATCTAACCCATTAAAGCAAAAACTTTTTTAAAAAAATGATAATTTAGGAAAATCAGAGTTGGCAGAATTAAACAAATTCTTCAGAATGACTTCAATTAGTGTTAAAATTGCTTATAATTTAAATCAGAAAAATTTTGGTGCTCTAAACAGAACTTCTATGCTTCGGAAATTAGGCTGACAAAAAATAAGTAAGCAAGCGATAGTCCGACCGACCGTTCAAGGTTTCGAAAAAAGAAAACAATTTTTCCACACATCGAAGAAATCCTAGGTAGACCGAGCTCGAACTTTAGACCTTATCTTACAAAAGCGCGAGCTTTACCCCCAGACCAAGTGAGTGGGGCATCCGTTTTGTTGAGGTTCCATAGTAGAGCAAGGTCAATTTCTTACAGATCTTAAAAAACCGGTTCCACTGGTGTCGAACGCTAGACCTTATATTTCGAAGACCTTATATTTTATATGGAAAAAAGAGTAGTTACCGGTTACAAGTGCTTTGCTTTCACAAGTGAAATAAAGAAACTGACACCCAAATTTAAATCGGTTAAGTGGGACAAGGTCAAAATCTAGAACATGCGCAGAATCATTATCCAAGAACATCAACTCATTTTTGTCTTATATATTTGAAAACGGCTTTAATGCTCTCATTTAACATAAACCGAAATACCAGTAAAAGGTAAAACAAAAAGACTTTTGTTGGACCTGCATCCCATTTCATAGATATTGCGAATGATTTTAATTATTATGTGGTAAAAATTTTCGCCAGAATTTTCTAAAACAATTTAATGCTATTTGTTATCAATCTACTAGAATCATATTGGTATCCTCTGCCTGAAAGCACTTCAGAGGAAAGATAAATAAGTGGTTTTTACTTTTAAAAATTTAAGCTAATCAACACAGTTAGTTGAATACAAATCATAAAAAACTGCTCACATGAGGGTCAGCCCTGAATGTTTTGACTACCCTTTGAAGTCTATTAGTTTTCGATAAAATTGATAAAATTTTTCTCAAAACTTTTATTAATTTTAAAAAACTCAGATGAGCCCTGAAGACAGTTTTTGCCCTAGTTACTCAATGTATGCACTACTTAGTTGAGAACCTACTGTATTCTTTTGCTGGTATGTCTTTACTATAGATTCCTTTAAAAATTCACATATATGTTATATTTAATGAAGCAAAACCACATAAAACTAAATAAGAATTTCATCGGTCTTTAAATTCTCCATGTTTTACCTGCAGGACAATAACTTGTTCGACAATCAATCATCTCAAGACACGTTCAAGGTCGAGTCGGCGGGGGGCGAGGAGCAGGAGAACCATGGGGGTCTGGATATTTCTGCGAGTTCCAGTAGTCACCCTGTGGATTTATCCTCGGGCGAAAAGTGCAGTCAGGAAACGGTGGAGAATTTCATGAAACTAGTCCAGGTGAGTCGCAAATTTATCTTCCAGTTTTAATTTTAAAATGAGACCAGGAAATCTCAATAAGAGAACTTGGGTGCTCAGTGCAATTATTGCAGAATAGGCTCTTTTACACTTTTCCCCCACTTTTGAATTTCAGTTCTGAAAACCATTTTAACATTGTCATAACGTAATGAAATTTTGCATGGTGAACAAACTAACTATTGTGAACAGGTTTTTTTTGATGCCTTAGATCGTAGCATCCCGCGTTTAGCCGTCAACCATACTAACACGTAAAACAACAATAAAACTTGCAAGATGGAGGGGTAGTGGAAAAGAGTCGCCGAATATTCTGATTCCAGTATGTGGTTGCTCAATGTTCTCAAAAAATTGAAAATGGATTTTTGTTTCAAATTTTTCATTGGATTCTTTCAACGTTGTGACAATACCTCCCTAAAAACTTCATAAAATAGTATAATATTGAAAATAATTTTTTTCTGAAGTTTTTAAAAATTGGATTGAGCGTTCACACTGACTCTCAGTTTCTTATCAAGTCGTAAACTTATTCTGAAAAACGGAAACATTTACGTCCGTTTTTCGTGACAGAATCCGATATACACCTGTTACGACAACTTTTATATGATCCCATTTTTAATACTCTAGACCTCTTGTCGAGGTTGTTGAAATAGCGTGACAAAAACGCCCTAGGCTATAACTCGCGCTTAATATGGAAGAAAATTGATGTTAACGAAAACAAAAGAGTTGAATCTGCAAAAAAATCGCATAACCACTATGCGTGGTCTGTTTGTTTTTTTTTCCCAGCAAATTTTGACTACCTCAAACGAAAGCTCATAGGTGTCAAGTGTGGTTTAATGTTGAAGCCATTTTAGCCATGATTTGTATTCTAACAAAGTTGTCTCAGTGTCGAGAAAAATTGGTCTGAATGTATTCGTTTTTCAAATCAAATTAGGCAGTGGCTAGGCTGACAGCGGAATTCGATTAGAAGCTAACCACCAAATATTATTCTGCTGCAATTATAACATTAATTTAGTTATTATCAACCACGCATTCGTTTATATTTTCAATCGCTTTTTCTAGAAAAATAACAGGAAGTTTTGAACAAATATTTTAAAAAAGTTTTAATAACTTCTTTTGATTTTTTTTCTTGTTTTAGATATATTATTTCTGAATTTAGTGTCGTCACAACATTCGCACTAATTGCACAGCAACCGGCTATTCGTGTACATTAAGATTTAGCTAAAGTTTTTTAAGTTTTTTTTTTTTTTAGCATCATTCAGTCGCCGTATAGAGGCAGACGCTTGGCAGATCCGAAGATCAGACGATCCCATTGTTAATCTATAAAAATTGATTTTATATAATTTGAATGCATGTAAATGTAAATGTATAAATTAAATGTATTATTGGAGAAATAAATTTTTACTTTTCTTCATTAAAAATGGGCATTTCTGATGCTTGCAGGGCGAGAACGAGAGTAACAGTGGTGGTTTTGACGGAGACACCGTGACAGTCATGCAACAGCCGATAACATCTTCTGTCCCAACTCAAAGAGGGGCCGAGGATTTTGTGGGTGGGGGCATGGATGTGTTTGGAAGACAGATTGGTAGTCCCAATTTAGGGGCGCCCAAAAAACGCGGGAGGCCACCGGGATCGAACTGGCTGCGCCAACAGAGGGATTTCATGGCACTGCAAGGTAAGAAAAGAGCTATTACTGAATTGTTTGATTGGGTCTAAGCTCCTCCGAGCCCTCATAAAATTTGGCTCCCCTAACATCTCAATAGGAAGGCATACTCCACTTTCAAACAGCAAAATTTTACAGGTCACGAAAAACGTGATCGACTTCTAATTTCGAAAATGGAAATTAATTATCAGATTTCCCTGCGAAATAAAAGTTTTACCTATTGATATAATTTTCTCAAATTGGGTTAATTTTATCATGGGTAAAAAAGTATTTATCATAAATTGTTTGTGAAATTCAAAAGCTTCAGGGGAAGGTATTGTTTCTTTAAAATTTGAAAGCTGAAGTTTTTTCAAAAAACAAGTCAGTTTTTTTTGTTTCCTTGCCTTCATTATTCTTTTCCAACTTTCAGTTGGCTATGTTTATCAACTATAAGCGTATTTTTAATTGCTTAAAAAATTCAGGGGCGGATCTAGGACTTTCCCGAGGGGGGGGGATTGACGAAAAACACGATTTTGTCAAAATTTTCGGCCTTTTTGGCCTATTTTTTCAAGTTTTCTGCGGCGCAATTTTAGTAAAAAATTGAGTCCTTACAGTGTGTCAATAATTTGATTTTTTTTTGAAAATCCGCCCCCACCCCTCAACATTAGTATAGATTCGCTTTTTTTCGGCGCACGCTCTCTCTGAAAATTAGTATATATTGGCGCCAAAGGCGCCGTTAGAAAAATTTTAAGGTCAGTCAGCCACAAATGGAAACCTCAAAATAGTACAAAGGGGGGAACCTTTGGGTAGGTAGGGTGTCGAATCCCCGAGAGAAGGGCGTCCCCCTCCCCCCTAAATCCTCCGCTGCTAAATCCGCATTCAAGGTCGCCTCTATTGTCACTAACAACAACGTTTGGCTCTTTTTCCTTTTCCCTCCCACCTCAAACGAGCATGAATTTTATAGTGTAACGAGTGATTTTACAAGGTTAATGATGAGGACCAAATATGTTTGTCATGGCTTAATTAGTCTACATGTCAATTTTCATGACAATCGGACAATATGAACAAAAGTTTTACTTGTAAAATTTTGCAGGTGGGGGGAAAAGGAAAAAGAGCCCAACGTTTTACTGCCGTGATGATTTAAATTGGAATAAAAATAAATTGAAATAGTCAGTGAAGATATTTGAGAAGCAACATCTTCGTCATTTCGGAAGCGCACATGCTTAAAACCAGTTAAATACTTGATTTTAACACATGATCATGAGGCCAACCTGGCCAATTTCTTGTGACATTTTGTCTTGATGGGCGCTCTCAATACGAAGGAGGCAATTGCTTGCGTAATTGTATTCCATGCATTGAACGCCAAAATTGAAAAATGCTTTTGCTCTTCAAGCAATATTTTCTAAACAAATCTAAGACGAGAATTATTTTTCATAGATAAAAGGTTGAGTTGGTTTGGGTGAAAATTAAAAAAGTAAATTTTGAACACAACTTGTTTCAACGTCTATCACAAGTTCGAAAATAGCCTTAAGTTAAAAATGATATAAACTTCGTTTGTTTTAGGGTTGGCATGCTTTGAGCCTAAAAAAAATCTGCCGACTTGTTTTTCGCATACTACAGATGACTGCTGAATTTTTATATATTGGCTGCAAAAAAATCAAGTAGACAATGTTTTAAGTTTTATTGATTTTTTAAATAGTTTTATTGAGCAGCTTTGATTTATTCAGCTTCGCTTTCAAACTGCGACGGTGACTCCATGCTTCCAACTATGGTCCCACCCACCTCACGACCTTCAGGACCCTCGACCGGTTCAACTATGGACCAAAGGTCAAACGGTGTTCACGGGAACAGTGGCGTCGGTCTACCTTTTGGCTCTGGAATCCGCAAACTGACCGCGGCTGGCAACTTTCCGAGACCGAGGGGGCGTCCGAGGGGGAGTTTCAGCAGTGTGCGGCGACTATCGACTGCGCGGGAGTACCTCGAGTTCACAAGAGCCTACCACCAGTTGCGAAATCAGATGAAGTTCGCTAACAGGATGAGACTTCCGGCTGACTACAAGGTTAGAATTTGGAGTGTGAATAATCCAGTCCAAGTGCAAAAACAGACAAAAATAAGCGGAGTACATAAACCATCAAAAAAAATGTCGAAATTTGCACGATTTTCGCAAGTGATAAAAAATTATTATCTAATTATTATACAACTACTCGGCATTTTTGGCTGGCTGATACGGTAGCTGGTCTACACTTCAGCTGTTTCATAAAATACCCAGTTAGGGGCGCATCTAGTATTTTCTGGAGATGATAATGGATTTTTGAACATTTTGACGAATTTTTTGGACGACTTGACATCTGAGGACCAAATTGATGTTCCCAACTCTCCCAATAAACTATAACTACTTTACTTTCTACTTTGCCCACATTTTTATCGCCTAAGATGAATTAAAATAAAAACAGACTTAAAATTTTTCTTTTGGGGACTTTCTAAATCGTACTTAACCCCCCCCCCCCCCCCCTTATCCCTATGGTAATACTTAAGAATATCCACCCCTATAAATAAATACAGTAAATTAGCACTAAGCTTTCTATTAAAAATTCTAATTTTGCTGCATTCTGATTGGTCGAGAAATGGAAGGGATGGAGATTGTTGAGTAGATCCGGCTTTCTTTATAAAGGAAGGTTTGACCAAAAAATTGGATTTTTTCAGCGGGTACTCCTGTGTTTAAATTAGGAATTATTGGCGCCAAAAGTGATTCCAGAAAACTTTTGGGCTTAGTAAAAATGGACGAGGTAAATAGTAGCAAACGGTGGTCAGGGGGGGGTCAGGGTGTGGAATCTCTGAGGGCGGGGGACCCTTAAAATTCTCCTGCACGTAGCATTTTATCTCACGATTGAATCAAAATGACGTTCATTAATTCCTGGCCGTTAACAGGGGAAGAGTTAGTTTAAAATGCAATAACTATTAACTTATATTTCCCTTTATAATGGCCCTTTCTATGTTGATATGCTAATGATATTGTGGCATCAGAAATTACTTGAATGAACCTTTATGACATTGTTGAGCATCTAGAGGTCAGAATAGCAAGCATCAGTAAAAGATAATTGGTTAATTTACTTACTACATTGATTGCATGAGTACGTCATCATACTTTGTGCTGAAGAACTATCATGGTCTAATACTTTTAATGAACTTAATAGGCCATGAGTGAATCGACAATAAAATTTAAAAATGAAATTGTTTGCAAAAATCATATAATCATATCAATTAGCATCCCTTCCTTCTAAAAAAAAGTTGAGTTTAGCAATTAAAGATCAAAGTGTAAAATTCGATGAATCAAGGTCAGACTATTATATAGGTTGCGATGATTTTTTTCAGGAAATGTCTTAAAATTTGTCCAGGCTGAATTTAACTTTTTCGTGTTTTGACCTCTGATTTCTTCTTAAGTTCAGTTCATTTCCTTTGTTTAAAGAAAGGTAAACTCCACTATCGAACAGCAAAAGTTTGAAGGACACAAAAAACGTGATCGACTTCTAGTTTCGGAAGTGGAAAATAACTTTCACATTTACCAGCAAAATAAAATTTCTTCTTATTGATCCAGTTATCTGAAATCGGTTAGAAGTTATCGAAAAGTACAAATAATAATTAGTTCTAGAAATTCAAAGAGCTTGAAGGGTATACATTTTTTTCTGTGAAATTCGAAAGCAAATTGAAATTTTTTCACAAAAAAAAAACAACTCAGTATTTTGTTCTTTTTGTTGCATTCATCAATCTTTTCCAACTGTCTGTTAGCTATGTCAGGATTTTGAAAATTTAAATATGTTCATTAGACTTGTTTCATTTCGATTTCAGTTAACTCGACAATTGCGAGAAAAAAATTTCTAATTGAAACTAAGGGCGTTTTTTTTGCATTATTTCCAAATGAAATTATGCATACGAGGGTTGTACTTAAATCGGCCGAACCATTGAAGTGAAAGAAGTTGTTATTGTTAACATTAGCTCGTTGTTCGGGTCGCGTCCGGCATGCTCTTGCCGAGTCCAAGGAACGTTGCGACCTCCATCGGTCAAAGCCACACTACATAATTGGTGTCAAAGTAGTCCTGTTTTGGAGATAAATAAATAAACAAGGGGAGCGCTGTGTAGAGGTCAGTGCAAAAAGGACCGTTAGATAAGATTTTTGGGTGTATCTTAAATCTATAAGTATAAAGGTGATAAAAAATTCAGACTTGTTTGCTTTAAATTTTTTTTTGACTGAGTTCCTCTTTATATTTATGATGTTCGGGTGTAGCTGGTGGAGGTGGTCGAGGATGAGACCGGTAACATGGAAAGGGTTTATTGACAAGTAAGTCTTGTGGGCAGATTGTTATGCAAGCAATTTGTGGTGATTTTCGACATTTGCACACTGAATGTAGGTGGTCAATGGAACTCATTTCAAAACTAACAGTCACCATCCGAAGAGTTATTACTAATTGCAGTTTACTTATAGACTTATCACTCAGCGCGTAAGTTCAAGCCGTGCAGACGTAGTGAGTAGTCCAGAATTGGTCTTACTAATGCTCTGTAAGTAATATACGAAATATCTTTTGACTGCCCCCAGCTAAAATCTGCCAGCGCCGATATTCTGCGCATGGCTTTACTTGCTGTGCGCTTGCAGTGCTTAGAAAAAAAGGATTGGATCAAAAAGACTGAATTGTTTGGATAGTTTTTGACCAATAGTAGTGTTAGACTTAACTTAGACATGGTTAGACTTAAATTCCTTGTTATGCGACGTGAAGAGACTTACAGAATATTTAAAAGAAGAAAACTAGAGCTATCTTCTTGTAAAAAAGAAGTGTAAATGCTTAAAGAAGTACTTTTAAAAAAGACATGTACAAAGGTGCAACTTTGGACGAAAGGATGGAATTTATTGGCAAAAAAACTGAAGTTTGACTTCAGGAAGAGAGTTGTGTGCATCGTGCACTTAAAACTTAAAAAGGACAGACGAGAAGACAGAATTTTTAGCGAAGAAGCCTCAACGTACAATTTTGGATAAAGACAATGCGCTTATAAATTGCGTTTTTGCTCGATGAACACTCAGATAGTTTGTAAAATGTTTAAATAGAGTTTCTGTCACTGGTACCTTGAATAATATCCAGTAATGTACGATGACAGACCATGTGAAAAGCTTTAGATAAATATAGGATGGCCAGCACAGTTCATTCGGGTGGTCATTTTTAGTTGAAACCAGCAAAATTTTAAAAATAAGGTTTTCAGGATTTTGATTTGCAGATTTTTCAGCGTAACAGAAAAATTATTTTTTAATCCAGTCATCTGAATTCGGCTTGAAATGCAATCAGAAAAAATTTTAGATATCCGAAGACCTTTACTGTCGAAAGTAATTTTTTTTGTGCTTTGAAACTCAAAATGACATTTTTTGTCGAAAAAAGGACTCAATTTTTCTGTTTTCTTGAGCGTTGTGTCCATTGACACTTTATTATCTGCCTATTGGCTTTGTTTTTTTTAGAACCTCAAGTTAAAAAAATTCGCGAAAAATTGAAGATTTTTTTTGGTTTCATCGTGTCAATAGATACTTCTACAACTGCGATTTGCTAAAACAGCCAACTCACAGAGTTCAGTATTGTCAAGTTAGTCTGCTAGCTGACGAGTATGAAAGGAAGTTGTCTTTTTGCTGGCCTTCCACTTGGTTATGCGCTCGCCATGATTGACCTTTTTATGGATACGGTGTGAGATTGATTGCTCATTAACACAGTTTTGTAGCGTTGGATGGGAGATTTGTTTGTATATCAAGCAGAAATCTGTTGTCCTGGTTATCGATGTATCTTGAAAGCTATTTTTATAAATTTTCAATGTTTCTAATTAATTGAGGAAAATTTGCCTTCAGTATTACTTAAAAATCTCTTGGAAAGCAGCGAAGCGAATTGTTATAATATATTTTCTTTGAAATAAAGCGTCAGTAAGCAGCCAGTTTTTTCCCGAATATGAAAAAAAAAATTGGAGACAAAATAAAATAGACAAACTCAAAAGAGTTTTTTTCTCCAGTTAATTTCATTGCCAGAAAAAAACGGAGTTGTTTCAAGCATTTAAGTCAGTCATTTTTGTTGGTTTCAATGCGTTGATTGATACTTTTCCAACTGTCTGTTGGCCATTTTCAAAATTAATGCATTGCCATATTGTATGCAGCGCTTTCGTTTTTTCTAGTTTCTTAGGCTTAATATATAGTACACTAGCCAGAAAACGACAAAATGCAGCTCTACAAAGTGCAATAAAAAAGTAGAAATAAGTTTCAGCCAAAAATGTGCTTTATAAATAAATATGTATTAAGTACCCAATGATCATGAAAAAATTGAAAGATTTTTAAATCAGTCCCTGGCTCAAACCAGTTTGAAATTTGCGTTATCATTAGCTTTGCTTAGTGTATCTGTGTTGATCTCTTCGAGCTAAGTTAATTGCTTTTATTTTTTTAAACCCAGAGATTAACCGGTTGCTGTACACGAATATTCAAACCAAATTCACAAAAAACTTAGCCACACAAAATATCAAAATATCTTTTTTCCCCGATCTCCCTGTTAGGGGTCAATTTAACTCACCATGATACTGATAGTAATAGATTGACAAAAAAATGTTTGACTCATTTTTCTAGGTTAGAAAAATGTTTTTTTTTTACTGTCAGAATAATATAATTATGCCGCTCAGATCTTTCAATTGTCAATCAAAACTATAAAAAAAACTCAAACAGTAGTTTTCAATGGGCTCATATTGCGACTTAAATGAATCAATATATGATGTATCACCTCAATATTACGATTACGAGGCTTTTCTTTGTGATAAACACATTCTAAACCAAAGAACTTATCATCAATGAATGGGCAGAAAAACAGATTTTCTCAAAATTATCTAATAAAGTCTTTTCCAAAGTAGTTAACTGTAGTCCCATCGTTTTAAAATAATTTCTTTGTCCCCTAGGGTTAAACAAACGCTCATATCACTCAAAGGTTAGAAAATTGTTTTTATTAACTACTGCTACAGTCAAAAAAAATTTTGGAAAAAGAAACAGAATAATATTTC